TATATATATATATATATATATATATATATAGTTGTATCTATGAGCCTATGTATCTTCATTTACAAGTAAATAAATAAATAGACAAACGAACAAAAATAAATAAATAAACAAACAAATAAATAAATAATTAAATAAATTAAAGTTTTATATTTTTGTTTTTTTGTCGCCGGCCTGGAGGCCCAACCCCAGTAAAATCCCAAACCCCCTCATCTGCTGCTGCTGCTTCTGCTGCTGCTGCTGTTGCTGCTGCTGCTGCTGCTGCTTCTGCATGCAGCGAATTTTCTGCATGCACCAGGGGGGCCCCCTGTGTCTCCTCTCCCTCTATTTCTTTAGGGGGTTCGGCCTTGGGGGCCCCCTCCCCCTCTCGCTGCTGCTGCTGCTGCTGCTTTTTCTGCTGCTGCTGCTGCTGCTGCTGCTGCTGCTGCTGCGTCATTTTGCTGCCCACGGGCTGTCTGCGGAATTTGCGTGCGAGGATTCGCTGCAGCTGCAATTCGAGTTGTATTTGGTTTGCTGCTGCTGCTGCTGCTGTTGCTGCTGTTGCTGCTGTTGTTGCTGCTGCTGCAGTTGCTGCTGCATCTTCTCTCTTTTCTTTTCCTTTCCTTGCTGCCGTTCTATGATCTCTAGCACCACCCCTCCCACCCCCACCCCCAGCAGCAGCAGCAGGAGCAGCAGCAGCAGCAGCAGCAGCAGCAGCAGGACTAGGGTTTAGATAGAGATTTCTTTCGTTTGTCTCTCGCTGCAGCATCCTGAGAGTAATAAACCCCCGCAGCAGCTGCTGCAGCCCCCCAGCACGAAAAGCAGCAAAATAAGCATCGTGCCATCGGTAGTATAACCTGTATAAATAAAAATAAAAATAAAAATAAAAATAAAAATAAATAAATAAATAAATATATAAATAAATAATTTAGTATTTATAAATAACAAATATGTTTATATGTAAATAAAATTAGTGAAGTAGAAATAATACACGGAAGGGAAACGAAAGAAAACAGAAAAGAAAACAAAAAAATAAATATAAAAAACAAACAAAAACAAGAAAAAATAAATAAAACAAAAGACAATATAATAACACACAAATAAAATGAAAAATAAAAAATAAATAAAACAAAACGTTAAAAAACTACAAAACCCAAAAAAGAGGAAAAAAAAAAGAAACGAAAGAAAATAAAGAAAACAAAAAAACATAAAATTAAAATAACAAATACAAAAAGCAAAAGACAAAAAAAAACAAAAACAAATATATTACTGCATGCATATGAATACAAAAACGAAAAGCACAGCAGCAACAGCGAGACACCCCATCATCATCATCAGCAGCAGCAGCAGCAATTGCAGCAGCAGCAGCAGCAGCAATTGCAGCAGCAGCAGCAGCAGCAATTGCAGCAGCAGCAACAGCAGCAATTCGAGCAGCATCAGCAGCACAAACAGCAGCAAAGACAGCAGCAGTAGTTTGTTGACTGTTGTTTTACTTTTGTGTTTTATATAAACAATAAATATATACTATACTGGGGTGTATAGGCAGCTCGTTGAGGTGCGTATACACCTGAAAAGCTTACTTGCGTGTCATTCGTCTGAATAGAGACCTCGGCAGCAGTATATGTTCTCTATCTTCTTCATTTATTTCATTTATATCGACTCCCACTTGTTTTAGATATTCTTTTCTTTGTGCTCTTAGTCTCCTTGTACATACAACAGCAGCATACTCTAGGATTTGCTGCTTTCTCTCTATCCACCGCTGCTGCTGCTGCTGCTGCTGCTGACGAAACTGTACATACACCCCATCCAGCTCATCCCAAGACACCCCATACACCCCGCAGTGCTTCCATAAGCCTTCAAGCCGCAGCCTATTCGCTCGTAGCTGCAATGCATTCAGATCTCTTCCTGCTGCTGCCGTTGCTGCTGCTGCTGCTGCTGTTGCTGCAGCAGAACCAGCATCATCACCATTAGCAGCAGCAGCACGAACACCACCAGAAGATGTGTTGGTTTCCTTTGCTCCTCCTGCTCCTGCTGCTGCTGCTGCTGCTGGTGCTGCTGCTGGTGCTGCTGCTGTTGTAGGTAGAGTGCATGCGAAAGGCTGCAGGCGGTGGTTGTGCAGCAGGGGATTAGGCCACAGCACGTTTGGCTCTGGGTACTGCAGCCACTGTTCTTCTGTTTCTGGTTGATATATTTCAGAGCACCAGCGAGAAGGCTCAGTATACACCTGACTGCTGTGTGTTTTTGCTGTATCTTTTTCTGCTGCTGCTGCTGCTGCTGCTGGTGCTGCAGTTGCACCGCCTGCTGCTGCTGCTGCTGCTGCTGCAGTGCTGCTGCTGTCCCTGTTGAGAAGGGTGTTAACAACTGCTTTGATTTGGTCTGTACTCAGATCCGCGGGGTCTACAGAATAAGAAAGCGGCGGCGGGTTGCTGAAGACGAACTCACGTAGGGCTGGGGGGCAGTCACTGAGGTCCCCCGCTTCTATATTTAAATATTCATCTTCTTCTTCTTCTGTTTCTTCTGTTTCTTCTCGTTCTTGGGTTTCGTCAGGATCATCCTCTAGTGCAGCAGAATGACCCTCCAGGTGATCATCAACTTCTGCTGCTGCAGCTGCTGCTGCTGCTGTTGTTGCTGCTGCTGGGGATTCGTTCGGCTTTTCTGCGGTGGGTGGATGTCGGCCGCTTGCTGCTGGGTTTTCGGCTTTCTTCTGTCGCTGCAGCTCGTGTTCTGGTTTCAGTGGTGGCTGCAATGAAGAGAAGAAACAACGGGGGGGGAGAGAGAGGCAGCAGGAGGCGGTGAGAGGAGAAAGCGGCTGCGGGTGTATACAAGAAACAGAAGAAAAGAAAGAAACATTTAAAGAAAAGAAATGACGAAACAAATGAGTTGACAAACGCTCCACCGCAGCCGAAGGCGCCATGGTGCTCATCTGAGGTGTACGTACACCCGAGAAAGTCGATGCAATGAAAAACAAAAACCACCGCAAACCCGCATCCTTCACGCGAGCGGAAACATCCTCTTTTAAACACTTTAAACCCTAAACCCTAAAGCCTAAACCCTAAACCCTAGTTTTAATTGCATTTATATTTTATTTCCGGTTCATCGAGGCGGCTAGGGTTACTAGATCGGAGCCTTTCTGTGCAGCTTTCTTTTTCAGCTCTGCTGCATTCAAATTTGTGAAAATTCAGAAAAAAAAAATTTTTTGAATTTTCCCCGAAAATATATTTTTTTAATTGAAAATAATATTTTAAAATGTTTCTATGAATCGAAATTTCAAATTTCAATTTCTGCATTTAACAACCGGCTTCCACTCTTTTGCATGCATGCAGGCGTTTCGGGCCCCGCTGTTGTATCTGTACAACTGAACGAGTAGAAAAAACACTTTATATTTATATAATATTTTTAAATTATATAATTTAAACTCATAACAACTTTAATATACTAATAAAATATTTTGTATAGCCAAAAATCCACGCAGAATCCTCGCCTGTACGCAGCATCTCACCTCTGTCTACAGCGCTCGTTACCCTCGATATTTGTTGTCTCATTGCAGTTATTTATATTTATATTAAATACATTATATTATTTTAATCATTTAATTTTTTATTTCACTACTTACCCTTCATAATACCTCAATTGAATCCTGTGTTTCTATAGACTTGCAGTACTCCGTTCCTCTTATTATTCTTAACAACACACCCGAAACCCTAAACCCTTGACTAGCACGCATGTTTGCATGCATTCTGCATGCAGGGCTAACTAGCTGCTTCACATGCATGCATGCATGCATGCGATATTTCTTTTGCCCGAGACAGCAGCTACACAGATAACAAAATGAAGAGTATAGGGTTTCTAACTGCCGCTGCTGCTGCATGCAGCAGCAGCAGCACCAGCAGCAATGCAGCAGCAGCAAACTGTTTATTCATTTTGTTGTTGCTGCATGCTGCTGTGCCTGCATAACCAAAGAAAAAACCTCGTCATACAGTGGAGTCTAAAAGCTTATAATAATAGAAGAAAATAAAATAATAAAATAAAATATAATAAAATATAAGATAAATAAAGAAGAAAACAAAACAAAGTAAAACAAGAATAAAAAAAAACAAAAATAAAAGTATATATATATCATCCCCGTCTACGCATAGCCCTGGCTATGCTATCCAGCAGCTGCTGCCTCTCTGCCTGCATGCGGCGTTCTTCCTGCTGCCGCTGCTGCATATTAACAAATAGAGAGAAATGAAGAGGGATCTGCTGCTGCTGCTGCTGCAGCAGCAGCAGCAAACGCTGCAGCTCAGCAGACACAGCACCAGGGGCATCCCCAGGCAGGTCCTCTACACGCAGCATCTGCCCCCCGCTAACTCGATCCCGATCCCGATCCCCTTCTTCTTGCTCTCCCTGCTGCTGCTGCTGCTGCTGCTGCTGGTGCTGCTGCTGCTGCTGCTGGTGCTGCTGCTGCTGCTGCGTGTCTTGTGTCTCTCGCATGCGCTGCAGCAGCGGGAGATCCCAGTGTCTCAGCAGGTCAGCAATAACAGCCCCGTTGACAGCAACACCCCACAGCAGCCGTCGCCATTTGCTGCTGCTGATGCCTTCTTGCATTTCTATAGGAAGAGCTGTCTGCATAGACAGAGGCAAATCAAAGGGGGGGCAGCGGGGGTAGGGAGAATAGAGAGGAGCAGCAGCACCAGCACCTGCAGCAGCAGCACCAGCAGCAGCAGCAGCAGGAGATGGGGCTGCAGCAGCAGCAGCTTGCATGCGCTGCTGCTGCTGCAGCAACTCCTGCCATGCGTGACGCTGCAGCTGCTGCTGCAGCACATCCTCCTCAGCTAGCAGCAAATCCTTTCTTATAAAACAATGGAGGTGTCTAGANGCTGCTGCTGCAGCACATCCTCCTCAGCTAGCAGCAAATCCTTTCTTATAAAACAATGGAGGTGTCTAGATAGACAAAAGGGAGGAAGAAAAGGAGAAGACAAAACACAGTCTGTTGCTGCTGTTGCTGCTGCTGTTGCTGCTGCTGTTGCTGTTGCTGCTGCTGCTGCTGCTGTTGTATTTATTTCTGCTGCTGATGACACACCGCAAACTGCCTGGGATGCACCGCCAGACGCAGAACGACCCACAGATACCTCTAGGTCGCGGTTGCTGCTGCTGCTGCTGCTGCTGCTGCTGCTGCTGCTGGGTTTTCTTGCGGGTAGCAGCAGCAGCTCGTGTGTTAGGAAGAGAGACTCTGCCAGCTCATCAACTACAGCCTGAGGCAGAAAGGCGGTGTCTCTCACCCTTCTATTGTGTCTTCCTCCTCCTGCTGCTGCTGCTGCTGTTGTTGCTGCTGCTGCTGCTGCTGCTGCATCTCCTCGCTGCAGCTCCTCCTTCAGCAGCGCCAGGAGCGCCTGGATGCCGTCTGTATGGGGATAGGGGTTGACCCCCCGCCACCTATCTGTTGCTGCTGCTGCTGCTGCTGCTGTTCCTCCTGCTGCTGCTGCTGCTGCTGCTGTTTCTGCTGTTTCTTCCTCCGGCCCCACACTAGCCTCTATGCCTGCAGCGCATGCATGCAGATCGCAGTGGTGCTGCAGCAGCACGCGGCAGCAGCAAGGCAATGCAGGGGCAACTGCTGGGTTCGCGACCTTTATAAATCCTGCTGTATTCCCTGCTGCTGCTGCTGCTGCTGCTGCTGCTGCTGCTGGTGCTGCAGGACCAGCAGCAGCGGCAGCACCAGCGGGAGGAGGAGCAGCAGCATCCTCTACTGCTGCTTCTGCTGCTGCTGCTGCTGCTGCGTTTGCTGCTGCAGTGAATGCTTCGTGGGGGGATTGAGGTGTATGTACACCCAAAGGCAGCGTAGCTCGCTGCATGTCTGTGGTGCCTGGGGTGCACAGTCTGCTGCTGCTGAACTGCTGCAGCAGCAGCAGCAGCTGTGTGTTTGTAATTTTGTGTTCTCTGTATAGCTGCACAGCAACAAGAATATCGTGGAGACAAACAATATCTTTATATTTCAACTGCAGCAAACTGCTTTCTGCTGCTGCTGCTGCATGCAGAGCAGCAGCTGCATGTACACCGTAACGAAATATAGAACGGCTACGAGCTGTAGGAAAGGGGAGACCAGCTGCTTCAGTTGCTGCTGCAGATACACCCCAATCAACCACACCAACTCCTGCTGCTGCTGCTGCTGCTCCTGCTGCTGCTGTTGTTGTTGCTGCTCCTGCTGCTGCTGCTGCTGCTGCTGCTGCTGCTGGTCCTCCCTGCAGCAAATCCTCTACAGCAGACACACACAAACGACGGCTCTCACTGTCTTCATCATCATCCTCAGCCACAAAACTGCTGCTGCTGCTGCTGCTGTTGCTGCTGCTGCTGTTGCTGCTGCTGCTGCTGCTGTTGCTGCTGCTGTTGCTGCTGCTGCTGTTTGAGGCTGTTTCTCTCCCTTCTACATCTGCGTCGTCTCCGCGTTTGTCTGTGTCTGTTGCTCTTTCTTCCTGCTGCTTCTGCTGCTGCTGCTGCTGCTGTTGCTGTTGTTGTTGCTGCTGCATTTTGTTGTTTGCTGCTGATGATCCAGCTGCTGTTGCTGCAGTTTTGCATTGATTAAGGTAGCAATCTGCTGCAGCAGCAGCAGCAGACGACAGCAGCAGCTGAATGAGGGGCTCGGGATCATACGCCTCAGCATCGAACGCAGGTTTATGTAGGCCAAAAGAACCTGAATCAGTGAAGGAAAAAGAAGACAATTGCTGCTGCTGCTGCAGCAGCAGCAGCNTAGGCCAAAAGAACCTGAATCAGTGAAGGAAAAAGAAGACAATTGCTGCTGCTGCTGCAGCAGCAGCAGCTGCTGCTGCTGCTGTTGCTGCTGCTGCTGCTGCTGCTGCTGCAGGGAATTCAGAGCTGGGCGCAACACCCCCAGCAGCACTGCAGCAGCAGCTTTTATGCTTTCATCTGTATACTGTGCATGCGCTGCTCGCCGCAGCAGCAGCAGCTGCTGCTGCCGTTGATACCTTAAGGCAGAACGGAACAGCAACTCCTGCTGCAGCTGCTGCAGCAGCTGCAGCTGCAGCAGCAAAGAAGGGATTCGCTGCGGCAGCACCCGCATCTCATTCGGGCTGCTCTGCAGCTGCTGCAGCAGCACATCAACAGCATCCTCATGGCCACCAGCAGCAGCAGCAGCAGCAGCAGCAGCAGCAGCAGCAGCAGGAGAGACAGAAGAGACAGAGGAGACAGACAGCTGATCCGAGCCCGTTGCAG